ATTCAAAGGCTTGATTAGGCAGGCTCATAGTGCACGTTTGGGAAGAATGCTTCACAGAGATGCCATGTAGTTACGTGGCGTGTGTCAGGGGTACACAAGGGCCTGTGGCCTCAGTATTGGTGAGCACAGGTGGGGATGCAGGTTAGTGCCATTTTCTGAAAGTTGAAGCAGTGTTGTTTTGAGCTGGGCGAGTCTTGTAGTGGGTAGCCGGCTCTACCCTGCAGCCCCTCCTGGTTCTCTCTCCCCCTTCCTGGGAGCTGATAGGCCACTGGCATTTCCAGGTTTGGCCCACATATTGCCACCACTGCCTGCCCCATAATGTTTATGAGGGCCTGGCCATGGAGCACACGTTTTATCTACCTGCTTGGCAAGGGGGGAGCGCCTGCCCTGTGGGGATGGGGTGGCCCCTGACACTGGGCAGAAGAGATGGGCAGCAGTTTATTAGTCATTTAGGCTCACAGCCCAGGGAGGGGGCCGCTGCATGGCATGCAGGGCCACAGGCTGTGGATGGCAGGCTTTGTAGTACAGAGAGGGTGGGCTGCTCCTTGGTTCCTGCAGGAGGACGTGATTGGCTTGTTGGGATGATTCTATGGGCTGGCAGGGGACTAGACCCCAGACTCAGGGAATGACAGGAACTGTAGCTGCCCCCTTGGTCGGGAGGGTTGTTTGGCTAGGGGGCCTTACTGAGGGAGCAGAGTGGGAAGAGGAACTTGTGGTTAGGCCTTCCAAAGCCCCTGTGGTTTCAGACATCAAGGCAGGACACGATACTGGGCCTTAATGGGCTGGAGTAGAGCGACACACGGCAGGAAGCTTGCGGTATGCTGGTGCCTCTCGGAGCGCTTCACAGCAGCAGGCAGGTGCTGTATCTGCATCACTTTACAGAGGAGGAAATTGAGGCCCAGGAGGTGAGGTGCTCTGCCGAGGTCACGTGGTGGTAAGGGGAGTGGAAATCTGACCCCACTGCCCCTCCAGAGGCTATGCCCACCAGCAGAAGAGGGCATGTGGGTTGGGGTGAGGAGAGGGGGCCGTGAGCCTGGCTCTGCCTGTGCCCTGGCCTGGGCCTCGGGTGACAGTTATGCTGCTGAACCTCAGTCCTTTCACCTGCGGAGGCTAAGTGCAGAGCAAGAGGGTCCACGCACAACTGGGGTGGCGGCTCCAGGGGCCTCTCCCACTGTGCAGCCGGCCCCCTGCAGGCAGTTGTCGCCAAGCCAGGTGACGGCAGGTGGCTTCAGTGAAGGCTGCTGCCTGCACTCCTGCTTCTCTGCACACCTGGGGAAGGCAGTGCATGGGAGCCTCGGCTTGGGATCTGCATTTCTCTTCCCACCACCTTCTCTGTGTTTTCTTTCCATTCCTCCTGCACAGCAGATTTCAGACTGTTCTGTGCCAGAATTTGATCTCAGTTTTCACACAGCTGGAGAACTGAGAGCTACATGTTGTGTTTCCTAACAGTAAGGCTGTATTTCTAATTGAGGAAAATTTTATCTCCTATTGAAATAATTACTGATGCCATTACACTGGTGGGAGGCGTGTGCATGTGTATGTGTGTGTTTTCATGATCCTGCCTGCCGGGATTTTACCCAGCACACAGGCTGAGGAGGACGTGGAATCGCGGACATTCTGTGGTGCGTAGAGCTGTGCACCCTTCGGCAAGACGCCCTTGTCCTGTCGCCTCAGGGCTCTCATCTCTAAAATGGGAATTACAGTAATTCTGTCTCAGTGGGTTCTCATGCAGGTGAAATGAGGTGGAATTTGAAAGCTCCCGTAAAGGGCTCTGCGCAAGATGGCTCCAAACATGATACCAGTTATCATAACTATTATCCTTGTCTTTGTGGGGGGGCCAGCACCCCGACTCAACATAAGGCCTGTCTGGAGGCTTAGAGGTAATTGATCAGTATGTTCTTTCAATAGCCTCATCTCCCCGGATTCCCCAGGACTGACGGGAAATCTGATACCCCTCCTCCCTGCTAAATGCGGGGCTGCCTGCCTGGGCTGCTGACCACGTCCGATGTCCATTTCTAAGTGGTTTCCCTTTTGCAAAGGAGCGCAGGAGAGGTCCAGTAGAGAGGAAAAGCCATTAGTGTACTTAGGAAGCATGCTTGTTGCTCTTGCCTGTAAAGCTTCTACATCATGCGTCTTGTTTTCCCTCCTTCAGACCACAAAGTTGACCGTGACCTTCTTCTGGCCATGGTTTGCTCGTACAATGGCCAATGATGAGTGGTGGCTGTTGACATTCCTCTGTGTGAGTCCCTTGCCCAGCATGCGACCTCACTGCCCCTTGGTTGGGGTGGAGGGAAGGGAGGCTCTCTCAGACCTGGTGGAGCGCTGCCAGCATCACTCATGTTCGCATTTGTCAGAACAGCAGCCTGCTGTGATTGAGGCCCTCCACACTAACATTTCTTCCTGCCAAGATAGCAGTGTTTTTGTGGAAGGTGTGGCCATCCTGGGGGTGGGGAGGAAAGTATGAAGTCTCAGAGAGGTTAAGTGACTTTTCTTAGGCCACCCAGCTGGCAAATGCCAAGCAGGGATTTGAACCAAATTTAATGGTCTGATTAAATTTGTATTTCAGTCTAATCTTGTGTTATTTATGATTGTGGGTAAAGGAGGTAGAAATCTGTGTCAAGTATGTGACTGAAGTGTGAACCTGTCTTGAAAAAAGCCTGTTATCAAGGTATATGTTCTAGGGAATCTTTTAGATGATGGGGAGATTCAGGGGCTTTGAGGACTTGACTTTGAGTTAAAGAGGCACGGGGACAGTGGTGTCACTCTTTCTTGTTCAGGGACTTGCTGTTCTGGCTAGTGTGACGTCAAGATGGTCCCTCTTCAGGGCTTGGGCCGAGTCTACCCCATTCAGCGTATACCTATAGCTAAAGACTTTGACATCTCATTCCCCAATCAGTTGGTACTTAGGGTCCCCCTAACTGTCATGTCTGCAAGAGTGGGGACCATGTTTAGGGTTCATTCACCGGGGTTTATAGGACAGTATCTGGAACATCACAGGCTCTCAGTAAATGTTTGCTGAATGAATAAACGAGGCAGAAATGCTGGTCCATTCTGTCCCTTACCGAGCAACTTCCTGTATAAGCAGATGTGTATCCTAGGCAGCTTAAAGTCAGGTTGGTGATGGAAACAGGACCAGTTGCCAGGGGACAGAGAGAGAGAGGGAGACAGGCAGACAGACAGACTGCGTGGGGCAGGGCAGGTGGGTGAGCCATGTGAGTGGCGTTCCTCTCGCACTGCGGGTTAGGTACCGCGCCCGGCCCTCACTGCAGATCCCCCGAGGGGGGTAGTTGCCAGGGGACAGAGAGAGAGAGGGAGACAGGCAGACAGACAGACTGCGTGGGGCAGGGCAGGTGGGTGAGCCATGTGAGTGGCGTTCCTCTCGCACTGCGGGTTAGGTACCGCGCCCGGCCCTCACTGCAGATCCCCCGAGGGGGGGAGGTCACATCCTGATTTGTTACCAGGCTGCTCAGAGGCCTGGGGAGCCCCCTGTGGTGCTGTGTGTGCCCCTGGCTGTGCACCCACTGCTTGTAGGTGAAGGTTCAGGTGACCAAAGAAGGAGTAACCGGCAACCGAGGTCCCCAGAAGGGAAATGGTTTTCTGTTATGTTTTGCTGTGGCTCCACTTCTATTTTAGTTTTCTGTGTGCTGTTCACGCTGTCCCCGCACAGATCTCCCTTGGCCTCTCTTCTCTTTCGGTTCATTTTAGTGGATTCTCTCCTTTCTATTTCAGTTCATTTTAGTGGTTTCTCTCTGTATCTTAGAATATTGCCTTTGCTTGCCTTCTGCTTACTTATGTTCAGGCTTGTGTGTGTGTGTGTGTGAGTGATTGTAGCGGCGTGAGGAATTGTGCAAAAGGCTGGGCACACGAGGCTTAAAAGAATTGCCATCAGAGTAGTAAGACCCGGGAGGCAAACGAGGTGAGGGTGGGTGGCGCTCAGCATCGCGCTGGCGCCCTGGTCCTGTGGCCGGGTCTCTGGGGGAGAAATGGGAATCAAGGTTCTGGGATCTCTAAGGCTATTACAGTGATGTCAGCCTGTGGGTGGCAGATGGTATTGATGGTGGCTGCCGCCGTATCTCTCAACTTACCTGCTTTGCTGTAGTGGGACCTGCCAAGAGGTGGAGTCAGTTCTCTCTTGAACCCTAGGCTGACCTTACGACGCATTTATAACCCAGTGACACCTCAAGACTCCTGAGCCTAGGTCTGCTGGTTCTCACGGGACCCCCATTCTGAATCGAGTTCCTCAGGCGGGCGTGGGGCCAGGTTCCTGGGAGGTGGCCTGATGGCTGGGAGCTGACAGAGCAGCCACATGCCAGCAGCTCTGTCCTTCTTTCCTGTTCTCTCTCAGGGTGATTACCTTCCACCTGCCCAGCTGTTGTGGGTTCCGAGGGTGAAGAGACAGGAGGTGGGTGCTTAAAGCTGGGCGCTTTCTTGGCAGCGGTCCCAGAATGCATCTTATTCCCGTTTTCCCTTCCTCCCTCCCTCCCTCTGGGTTTCTCTCCTGTCCCAACCTTCTGTCTCCGTCTTTGTCCTCAGCTCTTCTTTCTCACTCTGCCCCCTACTGGTGGCAGTGTTGCAAGATGCCGTCAAGTAACGAGGGAAGAGCCGGGCCAGTTCCTGCCTGGCTGGTGCCCACTGCCCCCTTACCTTGGCTCCAGCTGAAGCCCTTTTCATGCCCAGAGACTGTCCTGCTGGCCTTGCCATGGCCCAGTCGGGCCACCATTCCGCTCTGAGGCTTCCACATCACTTGGGAGCCCTGGGTTCTTGAGGTTTTTGTATGTCAACCTCACAACTGTTCTCTTATGCCAGAATTGCTTCTTGCTAGCAGGTGGCCACAAAAGGTTCTACAATGCGTCAGTGATTCACTTGCTTTTTCCCTCAGTAGGGACAGCCTGTCACCCATCCCCCTTTCCCCAGCAGCTGGATTCTGCACCTGAGGGTGTCGGGAGGTGTGGGCAGCAGAGTGCATGCAGGGCCCTCACACATCTTTTCATTTGTTTCAGTTTTACAGAGTTTTTGGACCCATTCCAGAGAGTCATCCAGCCAGAGGAGATCTGGCTCTATAAAAACCCTTTGGTGCAGTCAGACAACGTACCTACCCGCCTCATGTTTGTAAGTACCATGATTTCATGGCTGATTTGGCCATTCTCCCAAGTATGAACCGAATGGGTTTCATTTCTGCTTCTCTCCCCCCCTGCTGAAGATGGTGAGCGCTCTGAAAGAAAGAACAGGTGAGCGGCCCTTCAAATTAAAATTCAGTTCTGGGTCATGAAGGGTGCTCCTTGGTTCTGGGAGAAATAGCAGTTGCCTGCCACTTTGGAGAAGAAGGTGCCTGATTACCTGAGCTATGATAAGCGGTTTCCAAATATTTACAGTAAAATAAGACAAGAAACAGATTTTTCTGTCCCATCTCCTTTTAGGACAAACCTCCACTTTGCCAAACTTAGGTACCTTGGAGAGCTGTGTCAACCATTTTTCTGGTTTTAGCTGGTCACTTGACCACCATGCATGACTCAACCCCTGGATGGTGTCTTATGTCTTCCTGCTTCTAAAATAAATGGGAAAACATCCAAACAGCTGGTGGATATATTGGGATGATTTTTACCTCTTCACTCTGCCCCCTGGTGATTGCAGCCTTTTACATTTCACTCCCTGTGTGCCAGGCACGTGGCTGAGAGTTTAAGAAAGGGTTATCTCAGTCCCACCCAACATCCCAGAGAGGAAGATATCGTTACTGCCCACATTTTAAAGCTGCAGAATGGATCCTAGAGAGATGAGGGGACTTGTCCAAATCCACACAGCTAGTGAGGGGCAGAGCCGGGGTCCATCTCCAGGCAGCCAGCCCTGAGCCCAGCTCTCAGCTGTGAGGCTGCCCTGTCGGTTAGGAGCCAGGTGTCCAGGACTCCTTACTGATGTTAATCGACTCCTGGAGATTTGCCATCGGGCCTTTCTGTAGCAGAGGAAATATTTAAGTTACTTCTTGTTTCAGGACAATACATGCAACTTTTGGTTGGCCAGCCTTATAACTTGAAGTTTATTCCTATTGACCAGCCATTTGTGTCTCATGCCTCTGGGGACATAAGTGACTGTCATAGAACGTGTGAGGAATATTTCTGCATTTTGAAAGAAATTCCTCTGATTTTATGGAGGAAATGTTAATTAATGATGATTGGAAATATCTTTGTGTCTGCAAATATCCCCAAATGCCCATAATACTACGTGAGCATTGGAGTATTACTTTAATTGCTTTTTAATAGTTACTTTCCTGCTAGAAAATAAGCTAGGTTTTTGTAGGGGGATTCTGCTAGGGATAAACTAGAGGGATTGAAACATCAGGGTGTTTGTGAGTAGGGCATTACCTAATGCTCATATTAATATTAGACTTTTTTCATTTTTTCTCTAACTTAAATCTTCTATAAATCCTAGAAATAAAGGAGCTAGTGTGTGTTTAACTAGCTTACTCAATGGTTTTAATAGGGGGAAGCCTCTATTTATTACTTATCCCCATTCTTCAAAGAGTTCACATTTCATGTGTTGTAAAACATGATTTGGAGGTGAATGTTCACATGGGCTACTGTGAGAAGTTTGTGCTGTGTCCTAGATATGTGAATTGTTTGAAGTCTGGATACAAATGCTACAAATAATTCTGGCTGCAGACACAAATAGGATGGAGCACATCTGCATGTTGGCAGTGGTGGGAAGGGGAGAGTAAAGGAGGTATTCAGGGCTACGAGTTCTCAGAGAATAGAAGGGTATTCAGCCACAAATCCTGATTCATACACTCTAATCTCCTAATGAAATAAGGTCAACCTTTTGTTTTGTTAATAGTAGATGATGAATTTCATTCATTGGGTCACACGATTTAGTGGGATGCCATAATAGCACAAGGATAGATGTATTTATAATACCTGTAACACAAGGATGAAAAATACTTTGTCACCACATAAACTAGTTTGCTCTCATGGATTTTGTTATGAGTTTAATATGATGCCATTTGTCTGCTTTGATCATTTAAAACCTTCAGGTGTTTATGGAAGAATATAATGGAATATATTTATTGTACTGTTTTTCTTTTTAGCTTGGTTTCCTTAGGGAGCTCAAATTTTATTACTTAATGTATAAACGAAATCCTGGGGTCTCTTTCTAACCGAAGTGTTCTTTTAAAGGCATCTGGCATTAACCCAGGTGCTTTTTTATTGAGACATTAGTGCCTCTAGAGGGGTGTGTGTGTGTATTTTAGAGTTTACCAAGTAACTTGTATACTGGAAGTAACTTTTGTATACTACAAAATAGTATCAGAATGTTAGGGGATTAGGTGCACAGTAAATGCTAATAACATCCCTGGGATGTTCCCTAACTTGCATGTCATCTGTCTTTGGCATGGTGCACTGAGGTGACATGGCTGTCAACATGAAAACTGGGTGTGGTTGGACTGTTTGATTCCAAGAGCTTGTGGTGAGTCCAGGTTCCTGTTGACCAGGGAGACAGGCTGAGAATTCTTTTCGCATGTCCTGAGTCTTGCCTTCGCATTTCTTGGATGTGCCCAGGCTCCCAGCTGCCTGTAGGGAAGGCTGCTCCCTTGTTCAGAAGAGTTTCCTTGCTGAGCATGAGGGCTTCAGAGCATCTTTGCAAATCTACTTTTTGGGTAGGAAGTTCAGTACATTCTTTCTTGCCTTTAGTAGCTGTGTCTTTGTATGTGGAGCGAAGACTTCCAGGAGCCCGCTGTGAGTGAGGAAAGCTGTAGGAACTGCAGGTGATGGGAAGTCAAATCAGACTTGGGGTACACTCTCTGGGACCCTGAAGGCTCCTGGGGGACATGGCGCGCTAAAGAAAACTAGAATCTAAAAAGGGCCAGTGGCTCAGTTAAACTTTTAGGGGGCTTCATCACCACCACCACCACCACCACCATCCTCTTCATTTTTATCATCATAGTTCCAAGCAGTGCCACCATCTCTTTGAGTACAGGAACCGTGCTCATCTCTTTAAAAGCAGCACCTCAGATAATTCTTCTCAGAATCCCTTGAGACTGGCACTTTTGTTATCCCCTAATTTCAGTGGAGAAAATGGAACTGTAGTAAGATTTAGCAACTTATTCAAAGTTATATGGCCACCAGTGGCTGCACGGAGATCTGAACGCCCCTGGCAGAGTGCAGAGCCCCATGGAGTCATTCAGCTGTGTTCCCTCCTTGGGGGCTCGGGTGATGCGGAGAGCTGGTGAGTACGGGTCACACGTGGAACTGCTGGTGTGTAAAGGCACAGACATGGCACAGGAAGGGCCAGCTGGGCCCAGTGAACAGGAGTGTCTGTGGGGTGAGGGGGGTGGAGGGAGGCAGGGATGGGAGCTGACTGACTGTGGACAGCTTCCGGTTAGTTCGCTGTTACTTAGTTCAACTGACAGTTACAAAGTGTCTGCCTTGAGCCAAGCAGGGTGCTGGGTAGTGGAGATGCAAAGCTGAATAAGATAGGGGTTCTTAGTCTACTGGGGGCACACGGATGAACATGAGGCACATTGCTCAGCATCATGGGAAAGCCTTTGAAAAACAGGCGAGACCCAGGTAGGGAATTGAAGGAATGATAGGTGTTCCCCAATTTATTTCCTAGCCCTAAAAAGAATCTACCCAAGACCTCTCCTTTGCCCTTGTCTCTTCTTGCTTGGGCTACAATATGTCCAGAAAATTTACTTACGTAGAATATTGCTGATACTGTGTTGAACTGATAACAGGTTTCCTATTCTAGAACATGATGCTTCTGAGGAGGACAGAAAGTCAGTTTTGGGGGAAGGAGGAAGGAAAGGAGACAACACTGGCTCATGATAGACAGTTTAATTTTCAGTCTCTCTTGAAAAGTCTTAGACAGCTCTTTTCTTGGTGACTAGCTGTAATTGTTTACCCACAGCAGGGCCTTTCCAGGTGTCTGCGTGTCCTGAGCTGCCTTCATAAGCTCATTGCCAACACACCTTTCTGTCAAACGCCAGAAATTAATGCACTTTAGGCCCATTGTTTTGTCTGATGTGAAAGAACCCCCTGACCAGCTCTTATTCGGTGAGCACCCTACCAGAAGGGTGCTTGGGCTTTGCACCCTTTTGGTTGTTTAAAGTTCTTGGCATCCTCATGTCCCTCCCTCTTCAGACATGCGGCTCTGGGCTTTGTCGTTTTCCAGAAGCCTCGGCAGCACAGTGCCCTGCCTCAGTGCCCGGGGCTGACCCACTTTCTGGGTGCAGCAGCGGCCTGGGCCTGACTCTGATTCCAAGGTTGGTTTCCCTGGCGGATATGCACAGGGTGGGCCCTTGTTGGGGACATTGGTCATGGAGGGCATGGGCAAGGTGCCTGCCGGAATCCGCCTTGTCTGTGTCCCAGACCTCCTCCCTGCACCGCTCAGACCTAAGGGCATGGGTGCACTGGAGCTTGAGGTGCTTTGTTCCCATGTCTGGCACCCCTTTACTGGCTTGGGTCATATGTTAGCAGTTTTTCCACGGAAGTAATGACGTCATAGCCAACAACCGCATTCACTGGATCCTCGCTGTCTGCTGGACTCTGTGGGTGGGCAGATGGTGTGGGCTCCAAAATAGCCTGCCTCAGGTCAATCCCCAGCTTTGCCATTTTCTAGCTATGTGAATTGGAAAAATCACCTTCCAGCTCATTGCCTCAGTTTTCTTGTCTGTAAAGCGGGGTTTTCCCAACACTTCCCTCCCCTTCCCAGGTGCTGAGAATATCAAATGGGGCAGTGAACTTATGACACTTCACTTTGGGTGTGGTACATAAAAAACATTTGGTAACTGTTAGGGAACATAAATCCTAGGGACAGTATTTGCTATGTATATTATTATTATATCCATTTTACAGATAGGAAATTGAGACTCAAAGGTCATGAGGTGAATTGATATGCCCAAGGTCACAGAGCTTGTAAGGGTCAGAGCTGGGGCTTCCATACAGCTGTCCTCTAATCTGTGTCTGTTCCACGTATTTCCCTCCATGGAGCTCTGCTTTCCAGCCTGTGGAATAGCATCATGCAAGACCACATACCAGATCCTGCTTCTCATTTATACAGATTATTCTGACGTGAGGGTGCCATGTAGTACAATTCCTTAGTAGTTTACAAAATGTTCTTCAATATAAACATGATCTCAGCCTCAGTGTCCCCATCTGTAAGATGAGGCTGTTGGGCTAAGGTGATCACTGCAATCAATGCAGGATGCCACGGGGCAGCATGGCAGCTCGGGATGGGGGTGCCCTGTCCTACTAGCTGCATGCCTTTGTGTGTTCACTTATCTGTCTGCATTCCAGTTTTGTTCTCTGAACAAGGAGAATAATGTTTCTCCCAACAAAATAATTGGAGGATTAGACAAATGTGAGGAAAGCCCTTCACACACAGTAGATGCTTAAACCTACTGTTTAAGTGACAGCTGCCACCGACATTTCTATGACTGAACCGTGTCTCTGGAAATGAGCCTCCTTACCTCCTTTTCCATCTCCAGAGAAAAGGCATTTACCGTATTAGCTTAATGCTCCTTACTTCTAAGGTGAGAACTGTATCACACTGGATAAAAAAAGCACAGGGCTCGATTTAAAACAGTATGGGTACAAATCCCCACTTTACCACTTATTAGCTGTGTGACTTTCAGCAGGTTGCTGAAGCTCTCTGTGCCTTAGTTTCCTATCTTTTAAGTAAGGAGCCTTCATAGGGTTGCTGTGACGATGGAATGAGTTAATTTGCATGAAGTGCCTGGAACAGACAATGGTCCATAGTAAGTTTTCAGAACATGTTATCTAACATACTGTCTAACCTATGTGTGTACACTCAGCAGGTGTGTTCTCACAGCTGATGAGGAAAACTCAAGCACAGTGAAGGTTCAGTATGCTGTCTGCACCCCATGGTACTGTGCACCCTGTGGCAGTGGCGGGCTGGAATTTATTGTTCTCTCTCAGGTCCATTTTATAAGCATGAACTCTCTTGCCACTGGGCTCATTGCCAGGATTTTCCACCTTTTCTTTTAAGCCGTGGAAACATTCATCGCAGGGTGAACAGCCCTGGGGAAGACTTTGCCTGCCCTCTGCCTCCATGCCTCCGGTTGAGGTGGAAGAACCAAGCACTCCCTCCTCGGTGTCTCCCCCACAGGCTCGGGCAGGAGAGGAGCAGCTTCCAGAGGCATCTGACGGGACTGTGCCAGGGGTGGGCACTGGGCTCAGGGCACCTGGCTTGCCGAGTGGAAGTGGGGCGCCTCGCCTTTCTTTGTTCCTCCTCCACTCCGTCCGGAGGTGCTTTTCCCAGGAGGAAGTTGTTTTCCTCATGTGTTGCCTTCTGGGATCTCATCTGTTAATTCCAACTTTTAGTTGAAAAATATTTTTAGAAAGGGGGGGACCAGATGATAAGTGTAAATATGTCTCTTTGTGTCCTGATTTGAGGACTGTGCTGCCCTAGAACCTGACAGGTATGTTTCCAGGAAGAAGAAATGAGAGCGGAGCCCAAATGCCATCAGGATGAAAGGAGAGAAGGATGGCCACGTGGTCAGGGGCAGGCATTCCTGCTGTGGCCGTCTGGGCGGATGCTGGGGCCCTGGGAGGGCTGCAGCCCCGCCTGTGCAGCCCACAGGAGCTGGGGAGCCCTGGGCCCTGTGGGGTGCTTAGCTTGGCCCAGGAGGCAGATGGTAGTGGTTACAGAGAGAGACCAACGTGTCTAGCTTGGAAAGTTGTAGAATGGGTGACATTAGGTGCAGCTTGGAGCTGTGGCCTCCCATGTGGGCCCGTCTCCTTTGGTGGGTACACTCCTGCTCAGCATCCCTGTAGGCAGCCTCTGGAGTCTCAGAAAGTCTTCCCAGGCCTTGTTTTTTCTGGGGTTTTATTTCTGTCTAACCTGTGTGTGTCACCTGGGATCGTCTTGTAGTATGTTTGCCAGTCCTGCGTTCTCATACATGAGGTCTGATGGTTGCTGGGGTCATTGCAGTGCTGTTCAGTGCTCAGTGAGGGACTTACTCCTGTTTGGGAGCAGTGGCCCGGTCTGCCCTGCCTGAAGTGAGAGGAACCACGGAGCCAAGGACTTCTTCGACCTTGACTGTAATTTTGGGCTTGAGTGAGCAGGGGTTCCCGTCATCGCTCAACACTGAATGAGGGAGTCAAAACCCTGATTCAGTGTTGCTCAGTCACCAGCATCAGTATCATTTTAGATGCTCCTTACAAAATGTAGATTCCCAGGCCTGTCCTGTCAGTATATTTAAGGCACTCAGCATTATAATAAGCCCTGCCATTATTCAGCTGTGAGAGCCAGCCAGGCACTTGTGGAAACTTCCACAAATGTAGTGGAACTGTTAATCCGTGTGAGTGTTGCCTTATTGAGTCATTCCTGGGAAATGCTTTGTTTCTCTGCTTTGGCTGGGAATCTCCTCTCATACAGCTGACCTTAGACTGGTCCCATGTTCTTCTGAACATCCTCCCTGGCAACAGGACTTGCTTCTTTGCTGTTTAAACAGCCATGCCATTGAGGGCTGTGGCTGACAAGGAAGCTCATCAAGCTGGCTACTGCCATTTGTGGTCAGAAGGAAACCAGCGAGGAGGGAGAGGTGGTTTGTTCATGTTGCATGAACTGTCTGTGCAGACGGTTCCCAAAGAGGAGACCCCCAGATGGCATGAGCTCTGGCAGTGTGGTTGTACCAAGAGTGTAGAGCATCACTGATTGTTTGGAAAGACTGGGTTCATTTGGATGAACTCTGCTTTTATGAAACAAAAGTATCTTCTAGCCATGCCTGAGCCGTCTTAGAAAGCCCCCTTCCAAAAAATGACATCGCACTCAGCACAGGTATGATTTCCAAAGGCGGGAACACAATTATTGGTCAATTGCTAGCAGACCCCCATCCCTCCTGGAACTGTCTGCAGGGCCAGCTGTGGATTTGTGAGATATTTAGTCACTTCTGATTTTGTTATCCTGAGACGTTATAATCATAAGGAAGTAGCATAAATACCTTTTCTTTGGTTGCTGGAATGCTGAAAACAATTATAAGTAGTTACAGAATGCTGAGTAAAGACCAGGTATGGGAGGCGGCAAAGGTCTCCAAAGCCTGACCCTGCTGCTCACCAGCTGTGTGACCTCGGGCACATCATTTCGTTCCCAAGCCTGGCACAGTCACAGAGTCATTGTGAGGATTTAAGAGTCGCCAGTAGCTGATGCTACCCAAACATAGTTCCTGCCCATGGAGGGTTCTCTAATGAGTATCGCTTGCCTCTGAATCCACCAGCTTGATTCATGGAATACTTAATGCATTTCTGTGTGCTTTGGGCCAGGGGAGGAAAGGAGGTGGAGGAGGGGAAGTGGAGAGACTTCATGCAAAAAGACTAACCTCTGCTCTGCAGAGAGATGAATATTCAACAAAAGAACACCAAAAAAGGATGAGTCTGATTGGCCCCAAGCAACTCCTATGTGTCCCCTGTTGCCAGCGATCTGGGGAAGAGAGGCCAAGAGTTCTTCAACCTTCTGCAGGGGAGGACATGAGGGGCTCACTGACAAAGATGAGTCATCATAATTATAGGCTATTCTTTTCTGTTTAAAAAGCCACCACTTTAAATGTGGCTCCCAGTAATTACAAATCAATTATAACCCACAATCGGGCCTCCCATTTCTCAAGTCCGTGGAGTCTCTAAGTATAGATATAAATCCTCCTGTTTTGTTTGAGGTCAGGAATTCAGTAAGATCATTCAACCAGTGAGTCTAAATGAAGCTAGCTGGAACTAATTATTAATCAGCCCTCTGAAAGCAAACTGCCATCCTCATAAGGGATTATTTGTTATTTCTTCCAGGCAATTTCTTTCCTCACACCCCTGGCTGTTATTTGTGTGGTGAAAATAATCCGGCGAACAGACAAGACTGAAATTAAGGAAGCCTTCTTAGGTAGAGTATTCACAGTTCCTGCTTTAGGGGATGGGGCGAACTTAATTAGAACACAGGATTTTTAAAAACCTCAGTTGCACCAAACTTATTTTTCTTTTAGACAAATTAAGCTCGGGAGAAACAAAACAAGATAAACTTTTCAACCCTAAAAGGCCATGCACAGAGAGGTCTTGTATCTTCCGTGGCAGCCCATTGCCACTGTCCTTGGTGCTGAATGTGAAGTCAGTATCCGCATGGAGATCTGTGCTGCTCCGACGCGTGCTGGCCAGTTCTTGGCTGTAAGGCAAAGTGCATCGGGTGTCACCACTGACTGTCCAACTCTACATTTGTGGCTAATGGGCCCACATCATGGAAGATTCAGGAATCAACCACAGGCTCCTTGATGACCAGTCCTCGTGGGCTAGAGACAAAAATGGACACAACAGATGTACAATGTAATAGAAATTGGAGAGAAAATTCATAACTCATCTTTAGTTTGGGGACATCTTGGCAGTTAAGCAATTGTTATTGTATATAGAGTGCTACAGTCTTTACCACTGAATAGATAATATGGTTATAAATTCTCTCCAAGCTAAGTTACATGTGCATGTGACATGAGTATGGTGTTTTTAGGATTAAATCTATTTTCTTATGTGCTTGTTAATCCTGTGGCTGAGTAAATGACAGTATTAAGAGAAAGTGAAACTGTTTGGCTTGTTTAACAACCAAAATAAACTAGCCAGGTTTTCAGCTTTTTGATCATTAGAATGGAATTTTGGCTGTTTTTTGACACTTCACTTTAAAGTTATCCAGCCCCTCACACAAACTGTATTTGTGGTATGTTGAATGGATACCATTCAGTTAGATATAAATCTGGAAAAATGAGATTCCTCATAAAAGGGTATGTTTGTTGATGATTGGGCTTTGAGGACATGACCATGTAGCAGGACATGGTCTTCCGTTTTCTTGGTAAGGGAGCAAGGGGAGGCAGATATGTAGGGTGTTCAGAGAGCCGTTACTGGGCTTTCTGCTCTGAAGTGGTAAAGGAAAAATTTCTTACATAACCAGGCTTTGGTTAGGTTCTGTCTAGTTGGAAAGGATAGAATCCCTCCCAAATTAGCTCACATAAATTAGGGGTTTAGTTGTGGGGCTCTACAAGCAATCTCACAGACACCCAGGAACAGGGGAGAAAAGACAGAGGAAGCGTGTGGGGACTGGAATAGGGAGCTGGGCCCTCGGGGTGGAGCGTCCCTCTCTGCTTCTGTCAGCTCCCCTCAGTAGCAGGCCTTCCCTCTTCTCCTCACGCATTGTTTCTGCTGTCCAACGTTTGGTGTCTCTGGGGCTTGGGCTGGTAGTGTGGGTGCTCTATACGACGGCTCAGCTCCAAGGCCCACCTCCAGGTTGGACTGCATCTCATGGTCCAGCCTGACCACACAGACACTGAGGCTTAGCTAACTGCTCACACCTGGACACAAAAGTCATGAGTCTCTGCCAGCCTGCAGATGCCCCACCTCAGGTCAGGGGTGAATCCCAGCTGCTCATCTGTGGTGTGGGAGTTTGGTGGTGACATGGTCTAAGTCTCCTCAACTGAGGTGGCAGGTCAGTTTTTCCAAGAAGGGCATAGGTGCCCTCCCACATGTGGCTCAAGCCACCGCGGGCACCAGCTGCTGTTTGGTCCCCAGGATGTCCTGCTGGGAGCCCTCTCAGTTGACCTGGAAATCCATGTGCCTCACTTTTTATTGCAGCCGCTCCCTGGCTCAGATCCGAAGATACAGGTCTGCGGGTAAGAACAGTCTCTTAGGGTTACGGGAATGATTTACTGCTGGCTTCTGGAGCTGGGCTGTTGTTATGGCAGGAAGTAGCTGGCAGTTACTTTCTGCAGACCTTTTCATTGTCAGCTAAATCTCCCTTAGGGTGACATTTCAAAATTGCACACCACACCCTGCCTCCTATACATTAACAGAGAAGGTGCAGTTATTGGATGTTCTGTTTGCCTAAATAAATGAGTCTGCCCTGTAACAATGATGGAGAGCCTCCTATTGTACATCTTTTTTTTTTAAAAAAATTACTTCTTTTAGGGAGCCTTGGAGGTAGGAGGTTGGGGAGTGATCTTTAAAAACCAAGGGCAGAAAACCAGGTGTAGCTTTTCCAATGTCATCTGCAATTCAGGACTTTCACAGTGAGAGTGATTTAGTGTCCGGGCCCCTTCTGTACTCAGGCATCTTCAGCAGATCTGGACCCCAAGACCTTCCCTTGTCTGCATGTCCGCAGCAGCCACATTTGTGCATCTGCTGTCAGACTGAGGAGGAATACTTGTCCCATGCAGCACTGGGCTCTTAGAATTTATGCTGCAGAACAGCCAGTCTGCGGAACAGAGAATCCTGTGACAGAAATCCTGCAGCTCTGACTCCCAACGACAAAAGTAACAAAAAAAGCCCTCTGGTTCCCTGGGATGCTTATAAGCAGTAGTGTCCTTAATACAGGCCACTTGCAGGCCAATGCACATGTCACATTGCTTTGAATTCTATATCAGACAGTCTGGTTTGTCTTCCTGACTCTTCTTTCAAACCTGTAGCACTGCAGGACGCTGTAAACACATCCCTTGTGAACAGGCCCACTGGGTTATTGTTAATCAACAAGCACTCTGACTGGGGCCATTCATTTCCAGCTCCGCCAGTCCTTCTCACGCCTGATCTAAGCCCAGCCTTCCCTCTGGTCTCTGCAACAGGCTCCCACATTTGTCCCCTGGGGGTTGTGTTCTTCAGATGAAAGTAGTAATCGATTCAGGTTACTTCCAGAATGCGGAGGTGACTTCCACCCTAAATAGGGAAGATCCCAGCTCTTATCTGTCTTCTTCAGACTTTTGGATCAGAGGATGAAGTTGCCAGCCTTTGATGGTTACATCACATCCACACATTTTTTAGTCCAACTACTTGAAGCTTTTCAAAGAATTACTCTGTGCTACTATAAACCCAGCTGGTGCAGAGGTTAGGAATGTGTATGGTGTCCTGGATGGATGTAGTGATCAAGAAGTTCCCCAAGGGCAGCAGGGGATGAGCTAGTGATGCTTTCTCCTGGAGACGACCTCTGAGCTAAGGCCATACTAGCATCAGGGTAAGGAGCCCGGCCCAGCTGGGAACCAACAGTGAGCCCCTGACCAGCACTAACAGGAAAAGACTCCAGTCCATTGAGGACAGCTTGTTAATTGTCATGGCTCCAGGGAGGATAGAGCAGTGAGAGAGCCCAGGGAATTTTCGCTCCTCGCTGGATAGGAGACCTCTCAGTGGTGCTCTGAGCTTGCAAGAGGGAAGGAAAGCCAGCATTTTAGGCTGGAAGGCTCTGTGCATGCAGTATGTAATGGGAGGATTTCTCCGAGCCTCCGCCCACTTAGTTCTGTTACACACCCCAGCTGCATGCATGGCTCTGCCTATTGTTAACTCATCTCTGCTTTCCACCCTGCAGCTCATCCCTCCTTTGCTTCCACACTCAGGTATGGCCAGTTGCTCCCCATCTTACACATAGGTGGTTAGTTTCCCTTTGGCAAAAGTGTTCTTTTGAACTGGTCCCTCCCATTCTTTCTGTTTCCCATGACTTGTTAAAAGCAGGTGGGTTTTATCTCCATCTCTAGCCTGTGCCCTTGGTGACTGGGTTGCTGGCCATCCCACAGAACTCTCTGCTTGTAGAACAACACATTTGTCTCCCTTGATGACCACGAATTACTCTAGGTAGCTCTTTCCTGAAAATGTTCCTCCACTGCTATTTTCTTACATAAATTTCAGCTGGTATTGAATAGCTAATATTTGCCAAAGGGAAAAGTAGCTCATGTGTTTTATTATTCAACAAAGCAATGAAACAGGCCATCAATAGGTATTTATTGCTCATGCCAGGCATTTGATCTTCCATCACATTGATTTGACCCTTGTGCAGTCTTGATAACACAGGAGGGAGATGTGAGGTCCTTGCACAGAAAGCTCTGTGACTCTTGTTCTAAACCTTTGGTGATCTGTACTTCAGCCAGCCAAATCTTCTTTCCAAGCTACTTAGAGAAAGTCCCTATGTTGTATGTTTTAAGATTATGTATTCTAGATGTTCCTACTGTTTTTGGTAGAACAAAGCACCACTTGGGCAAACCTGCTCAAAACCCAGTGAGGTGCTGGGACTATTCATTCTCTCAGGAACAGTGATTTGTTTGATAGCACATGGATAGCTATCAGTGGGTGGTGGGTCAACAAGGAGATAATTACTGAGTGGGAATGTCCTACTCCGAAGTAGGTTTCTAGCATCTGCTATGATTAGAATTCTGTCTGAGAAGGTTGCCAGAAAGAAATAAAGTTATGTTTCTTGCTACTAGCAAAGAAATCCTATGTGCTATCATATTAAATTTTATATGCTATTTGTATCAGGCCAGGACATGATAGATGGGCTTCCCGCAGTATTGAACATTTCAGTCAAAGAGGAGAGGTAAATTTCACATCTTAGGGGTTTGGCATTTTAAGACTCACTTTCTGAAGCCCTGTCCTAGTTTTGTTTTACTCTAGCCACTGAAACTTCACTCTGTTTATCAATTATGAAGACTCATATTTCTATGGTCATAAATTAAATACTGTTATGATTTAACAGTGATGAATCTGATCATGATTTTGGTGTGAGAGCCAGCTAGTTATTTTTCTGTCTGTTGGTTTTATTTTGTAGCGGTGTCCTTGGCCCTTGCTTTGAATGGAGTCTGCACAAACACTATTAAATTAATAGTTGGAAGGTAAGTTGCAAAAAAATCAAATAATGACTTAGACGCTCAAGGTCATCTACATAGAATGCTTAACCACTGGACACTGGATGGGACAGATTTGAGTTCTTCTGATGTTCTCTTAAATTGTGGTCCTTCTGGGGTTCCTGTTTCAGGACAGATGTTGCCTTTCCTTTGAGTTATGAACTCACTCATTTCAGAAAGCAGGAGATCAGTAGTGAGGATGCCCACTGACTATACTTTCCGGTGAGCCAAGGTCTGTGTTGGTGTCCACCATGATCCCAGGGCCTTGCCAGACACCCAGTCACTTGTCAGTGTTGGCCTCCAAAAATATATATAAGATGACTTATTTATTGTTCTCTTTGGGATAAGAGGAATGAACTGGCATTTGAGCTTTGGCTTATGGCACATTTCTTGTACACCCCTGGGAAATGAGTCCTGTTCTCCATTGAGCTTAACTTCTCCCCCAGCTGCTCTGGAAGTGAGCCAGTCTTTATAGAGACCAATAGTCAAGCCGCGAATCAAGACTTGACTGTGGCTTTGACTTGCTGTTGGCTTTGGCCAGGTTCTCCCCACTCAGAACCTCAGCATTCCCTGATTATCTGCTTGGTCAGGGCGCTGGCCGGCAGTGAGGGGGCAGAAGGTGGACACAAGTCTGATAGAATGCTGATTCTCAAGCCTGTATGCTCTGAGGTCCCAGATCAGTAGGTGAATAGCCACGCTTGGAGAAACGCTAGCTGAATAGGGGAGAGACAGTATGCCAGCAACTCTGATGGATTATGGATATTTATAAATATTGGTAGATTATTTTGGGGCCTAGATCCCAGAGCTGGGGGGACCAGTGAGTCAGTATGTGGGGACTGTGAACTGTTATGTGCACCAAAGTGACCCCATAGCAGAGCCTTGCCCCTGGCCAGCATTCAGCAAACGCAGATGG